TCCGTCACTGATGCCTTGCCAGTGAATTAATATTTTATTTTCACCAATTAAATAAAAACGTACATAAACTAGTTAAATAACTAAATTTCTCCAATTTTATGAAGAAAATAATCTTTATTCGTAAATTTAGAAAAGAATAGTTTTGGAGAAGGACATTTCAGATTACCATATTAACAGTTATAAATCAAACGTTCCACTATATCGTGTCATATATTGTTGTTTAACCTTATTATAATTTTGTATATTTTTTTATGTTATTACATAACTTTTTTTATTTTTTTTTCCAGAATACGATTATTTAATAATAGGCATAATTAAACTATCAAAATGAGGATTTTATTACAAGACTTTGATTTTAAAAACATTACCTTAACGATCAACACCGATAGGTTAATAAGTACCCATTACTAAAATAATATTGTAGGTAGAACAGTTTCAAACAACTATAGTAGTATAAACAATGGGCAAACAACCTCCAAATAAATTTATTAAAATATATGGAAAAATGTATATTGTAAAAAAAACTGTTACCTATAGCTAGCTATATCTTCATGACAGGTCCCTTAGGTGTACACGCCCCTTAAATAAGGTTATGTTGATAAGTAATGGATTTAGGTAGGTACCTATTAAAACATGTTTACGTATAATTAACAATATTCTTTTAAGTATTTTATGTATTCAGTTTCTATTAAATACTAATTGGTAATTTGAGGCCTTTAACCAAAAATTACTTGAAACATTAATGATGTTATAAAAAATATCATACATGATTACATTAATATGAATCAACGAACTTTTGTTTTGTGATCATGTAATTTATAAGCGACTCAAAAACCAGTTGTGAAGGGTTTTCATTTCTGAAACTCTGTCTAGTCAGGTATATGCCTTATGTGTGACCGTCTAGCTAAAGCAGCTAAAGTATTAACTTTATTATTTGTTTTATATAGTATATAAGTCGGTATATTTAAATATATAAAAATCCCAAGACATGATGTTCGTTCACACTAATCTTCGAATCTGTTCAACCGGTTTTAATGAAGTTTTGTAAATGTGTATTGTTTGTTCCAACATGAGAGATATTTTTAATAATGACATGGTAATTCCTTCTGCGTTAACTATACACCCTAGGATCCACCTAGTGAGGGATGATAGGTGAGGATTAAAGCATGTAACTGACCTGCTTTCACCAATGAGCTAAGCATAAGGAATAAATCACAATGCTTTCCAGGGGGAACCGCATGGAGGTCGAACCGATAGTACACAAATACTGCTTGCAATGGGGCTATTAGTTCCAATCATCCCCATCTTTATATTGATAAGTGATTTCAATATCATGGTTCCGGTAGGTGACGGCAAAGGGCAAACCAGGTCAACTAGTAGGTATACTTTTATAAACCATTAGACTAGTAGTGTATAATAGACATATTCAAAGATTTTCAGTATTGAGACGTAGATAACATTAAAATGTGAAATCGGCTGTATATTTTAGTACTTCCAAGTACCTAGTTGTGTTTACCTATATCAGTAATACAGGCGAGATTTTGAAAGCTGTATCTATGCGAGTATAAATTAGTTACTGTGTAGGCGCGTACGTGACAGCTTCCATGCATTGGGCCTTTGCAGGTGCACAGGTTTTTCATCGGTGGGCAAGTATGCCGGTTGTCTGAGAGCGGCCGACCTACTGACTGAGCAGACAAACCGCGTGTGTCGCGACAATTTCACTATCGTAGTATGTTCACTTTTCGGTAACTGCGACAAGGTCGATATAAAATTGTAAGTATTTTTAGTTGTGCCCATTTTATATGCTTTTTATAAGATTGTGTTGTTCTTATGTATTAACCCCCATTGCAGTTTTTATAAAAGGATGAAAAAACTCATAATTTGTTACATATATAGTAAAAACCGAGTACATATGGAGGGTATCATCAACATCATCATATCCCTTAATCATCCCCTGCTGAACATAAGCCTCCCCTTGAGGGAGCCTCCGCTTGGCAGGCGGATTGGCAACCCCATTTAGACTTTAGAGATGTTTTAAGAGGGACGCTGCTATCCATCTTTCGCCCTCCCTTAGTTGCCTCTTATGAAACCACCTACCACAACTACCTACGGAAAAAGAAAGGGTGACCTATTCTATGCCGGGACCACACGGGCATATGGAGGGTATGATAGTACTCTATTGGTTCTGATATGCTACTTCATTCGTGTAATTATTAAAATTAACTTAATAAAAATGTGATATGATTTTTTTTTATACAACTGAGAATGGCAAACAAGTTGACGGCCCATCTGATGGAAAGTGGTAATCGTCGCCTATAGACATGAGCAGTACCATGGACATAACAGAGTATACTGTTTCGCCCATGATACCCCCCATGAGTTGCCATTCCTGAGGACTCAGATGTTATTTCTCTGTACCCTTTAAATTCACGCCATATCCCACCCTTCAAACCGAAACACAGTAATAAATAAGTCAATAATTATATTGATACAATCTAAGGGAATTTTTCCTCACCATGGCCACAGATAATATGGCTATACTAGCCATTACCATCTCATAAGACCTTATAAGTTTTATACGACGATGCTATTAAAATGGAGGCTGGATCAAACCTTAGGACCAACAAAGGAATAAATCCTATTCATTGTGAGAATTATTAAAATAGGTTCAGAATTAGTAAAGATATCACAAACAGACACAAAACGTACAAGAGAATTGAGAATCACCTCCTTTTTAAAAGTCGTTGAAAAATTCAACCATGGCCCTATTACTGTTAACAGAATGTTAGAGAACAAATGCATCTCGTCAATGTTTAAGAACAGACGGAGCTAATCGTTTTGTACGTACTATATTCTGACACGCATTGAAGACACCCGGCACGGAACGAATGTTTATTTATAAGAATAGCCCATTCATCTCCCTTAATATTCGGCCCGCTCAATTTAAGTGGATACGACGTAAACAGTGGTGCGTAAATGTAATCGTTTGACATCAATAACAATATAGATTATTCTTGTTTATACGTATAAGTCAAAGTGTAATGTAAACAAGCACCTAAAAGTACCTATTCCACTGATTGTTAATTCGGTGGCCTTTATTTTTCAACTAGCCTTTTCTCGCAACTTCGTCTGCATGACTTAGATATTTTGGATTGATCGTTTATAAAAATGTTCATCTTCATCCTAAATAGAACATTTAAGCCAAATTTTATTACGATTGTTTGAGGCCTAATAGTGCTGTGAAGTAATAAACTAACTCATTTTCACATTCTTAATATTAATAACGATTATAAAAAATAGATACTGCTATTGTCATTAAAATAATGACTGTAACTATTAGTTTAATCATAATTTATTTCGAAAAAATGCCTTCAAGGGCTTTTAAATATTGTCTATATTTTTTAAATTTAAATACAGCCTATTTAAATGAGACATGGCTAAGAAAATCGCGTCAAATCTTATTATAAAGACAGGAAGGGATTGATATAATTATTAGAATAAAATCATTGTAATCATTCAATTATATTATTGTCAATAAATAACATGTACGTTACTTACGGATTTAAGTCTTAATAAGTTACTATGTGTGAATATAATTATTTCTTTTCAATGTTTCAGATCAATGATAAAATTTGTATCTGTTTTGTTGGTACCTACTTTAATTGCAAAAATGTCGACGATAGCGGTACACGAGAAAGTCGCAAGGCTTATGTTTATTCCGTTCGTAATAAAACATTGTAGGTTATTCAGAATAAATTATCAATACACATCATTATTTCAGCATACCCGTATTTAGTGAACTGTGATATTATCTGTCAGCTATTCATTGTCCAAGTTGAACATAGTTGTGCGAAATATTGTACTGAAATAATTTTTATTTATACTTATTAAATAGATATTTTTTACCGCCACCAGTAGCACGCGCGCTGCAACAAACAGCGCACTGGTCTTAAAGCGCTACTCGCGACACAGCTGTAAAACGCGCTTATGAATAATTGCTCCTATTGGGTTCGAAACTAGTCGGGCATCTCTGAATTGAAAATGTGAGTAAAGCCGACACAAGTAATTACAAATTTAAGCGCGTTTAACTACTATCTCACTTAAGTGACGATCAACAGTATGTTGAGATACGAGATTCTAAAATTTGAAACGTCATATGCCCCTATTAGTGTCTATTTATGCATTAGTTGAATTTGTAATTTTGGTATCATTCCAAAATTATATAGGAAATAGCCGACGAGCCAGGATTTCTAAGGGTCCATGTGATTCCTCGCTCTATTTCCCAAATACGTTTCTAAACGAACGGACGGACGTTGTGAATGAGCGTGCGAATACGAAATCGTATGCATCGTACCGAGACGGAGGCGGCGTATCGTCTTTATATTTTTGGAAGGGAAACAGACTTTGACGGAAGCGGGCGACGCGCCGCGACAGATTTCGCCGACGAATAACAATAAATCAGCCGTTTCATGGCTGCGAGAGTGCAGGCGTGCCCTGCACAATGAATATGCAGACGGTATCAGCCTTTAAAGGTTACCCGAGTTTGCGTAGGACTCGTTTAGCAATCTCTCGTAGGGTGTAAATGTTATTCACATAAACTAGTTGATTTTTATGTTCTTTTATATAGGCAATTGAATACCGATCGTGGATATCAGACTTTAATTTATGTTAATTTCTTATATAGGTGGAAGAACATTGTAGTCAAGGGGACTATCTACAACTTTACTTTGCTAACATCTAGTCTTGTTGAGAGAAGGAACTGTATTATATCAGGTCGATTTTCTGGATACTATCAGAGAGAAATCTCGAGAATTTAATAGAAATCTCTTAAATTCGCCACAATAGGCCGATTGACCTTTTTATTTTCCATGATAAATATAGGCTTCCGTATTTTTTGCGTAATATAGAGAATCAGACAGACACATATTTTATATAGTTTTATTATGATTTAGTATGTAAATTATATTTTAGTAATTACGATTTAAAAAAGATCAACATACCTTGAGGAGAGACGCGCGTCGTCGTGCGCCGATCACATTATAACGGGCGGGATCTCTCGTCCGGCGTAACCCTGGAACCAGGAAACCGCATCGTTAATTTAACCAGTTCAATAAATAAAAATTATTCGACTGGTCAAATAGTCCTTAACCTTATTTATGTGTAAAAGGGATGTGTGCTCTCACAGTGAGTTTTGTTGCATTCATATAATAAATCAAGTTGAAATATATTTTTGAAACTGATGGAAAACTTGTAAGATGTTTTGAGGTCTTGTCTGTTTAATTTTTGGAGTGACTTAATTGTTTTATTACAGGGTTTAATCGTGATGGTTATTAGTTGTATTGTAGGTCAATAAATTGCCTGTAAATTGTGCTAGAGATTTTTTCAAAGGATCCGTATTAAAAAGGTAAAAAGTCTGTTACAACCATATATTTCAACGAGCCAAATTTTGCACACAATAATAATCGTAGTATCACAATAATTGTTGTCATGCGTGTGTTTAATAACCTTCAAACGAACTCGCCAACACAGAACACAATCAAGTTGGAATTGAGATCATATTCAGCTGTGGTGTTGACACCCTTCATTGCACAATTTATTGTTTAATTATTACACTCATTCGTTGTAATATTTTATAGCTATGTTAAATTCACACTGCTAAGAAGTAGTTTAGTTTTTATCAATGAGAACTAATCTCATTAAACATATAAATGTAGATTAACATAGATCAAGATCTCAAGTGTTTAAATAATGAGATAGTTGGCAACTACAAAATGTCTAGGTTATTAGTAACGATTCAATTTAATAGTGGGTATTGTAGGAAAATAATGATTTATATTTCCTATATTTTAATACTGTAAAGAAAAATCGTTCTTTGGAAAATTTTCGAGTTTACGATAGTACAGTACATTATTTTACAATATATTATTAATGAAATTATCTGAACAGTATATAGTAACAGTTCAGCTAGATAATTTCATTTTAAAATTAAATTGGTATTGTTTTTGTAGTATTGGCCATTTTCAGGAAGTTTAGTAAGAAGACGAAGATAATATTGCTTGTATTAAAAATTATTTAAAAAAAAAGCAAAATTTCAGATGTATGAATGTACCTATTACAAAATAAATAATATATAATAAAATACTTATATATTGTTAACTCAAAGCGTTCGTTTGTAGGTAAAAGCTCAATTTATAGATTAACTAAATATTTTACAAAAAATCTGTTTAACATTAGAAGTTTAATGAATTAACTTGAATTTCTAATAAATAATATATGAATATTACAGTACACAAAAGAATATTCAATACAAAGAGATTAGCTGTTAGCTAGTAGACAAAGAGAATGTCAATATTGGTTTGTATGGAGTAAACATCGCGCTGCTCGGACGACCGGCTCCCGAGAATCCGGCTATATTCCGTTCTTCACTTATTATTGTTGGCTCATGATTGTTTCAGGAACAAAGACTTGTATTTTTAATGCGTTGGAGACACTCCTATGAAACCATGTTCTTATTTCCAATACAGTTGTAACATTATTTTGTATCTACTCATCTAAATAATCTTGATAATATAAATCATATTAAATGTCAATATTTCTTTCAGAGAGCTTATCGTTTTGAGAATCTTTCAATATAATTATTGCAGAATTGGTAGGCAGCTAGTCCCAGTTATATTAACAATCCACGCTCCCTTAATCGTAATAGGTTACAATGTAATTGGTGTAACTAGGTTTAGATTTTAAAGTTAACTACATTGTGTAGTTATTGTGTAATGAATAACTAAATGAATATGAATGAAATAAATAAATTAATAGAGGCGGACACTCAGTAAAGGTTGAGAACCGCTAGATTATACGCCAAAGATCCGGATTTACGTTCGAAATACATTACATATTGTTTTTTTTGGTTTTTATTTTGCGTGGATTAAATTAATTATTAAATTATTTTTCGATTTCTGTTTCTTGACAAAAATCTACTTTTGATATTTTATACGTTACACTACATTTGATAGAATGATGTGTAAAGAATTCTCTGGAACATGAACAGTATATATTCAGGTACGTTAAGAAGTAAAGGCGTTAAGTAATGTATTAGACGTTAAGTATGTACAATCTACGTAAAATATTTTCTGATAATTAGCGTGTGTGATTGAATGGTATTATTATGCTACTTACTATAATTTTATCTCCCAGGAAGCAACTGCTGCTGCGCAATGAGATGACACATGCATTTTGCACGGTATTCAACGTACAGCGTTTGTAATAATATTTAGTGTGTAACATCCTTTCCTCACGATGTGGCATATTTATTTGTTTATTTATAGCATATTGTATATAAGAAGTATGTAAACTAATTATAATTTAAATTATCCTACACTTTTTAGTTTGCAGTATTATAATTTATGCTAATTTGTTCGGAAAATAACTAATGTAGGGTTATAAATAATATTACGTATCGTGATGAAAACTGCCATATTATATATATATATATATATATATATATATATATATATATATATATATATATATATATATATATATAAATAAATCAATTGTTGGTTATTAGTCTCGCTAAAATTCAAAAAGGGCTTAACCGATTTATTTTTTTTTGTTTTGGTATAGATATATGGTATACAGGGATAGTTTAAAAGAAAAAAAAAACAGAATAACTCTAAATTAAGTCGAAAAAAAAAATTAAAAATAGATAGTTTTGTATGAAAATCACTACTCAGAATTATTTAAAAAAATTGGCGCTGTACGTGATACTAAATTTATTAGCGTCGTTGTTGTCTATTTAGTTAAAAAAAAAAACAGTAAAAATGCGATTACAAACATTAATGAAAGTATAGTTTTTATTCCGTCATTTACAGTATTATTTTATCTGGTGGATATGTTTCATTATAATGAATTAAGATAAAAATCAACTGGGATACAAGGTCTTAAGGATTGCAGGATGTAGATAACTTTATTTTCTTAAATTTTACAATTAGAATTTTGTTGTAATTGGTTAACTGTAAGTAGTATTTCATAACTTGTGGATCTATTAAAAACTAACATGCTTGACTCCATTCGAATTATTCCTAAGACTAAATGAACTATAAACAATAAATAAGAATTTTTGGAATAGTGCGCCCATGTTGTTTTGTTGTTAGTTTGCGCAGGAGTCGGGACATACTAACCAATCGTAGCGCTAATGAAACAATGGAAAACTATATATAATATATATATATATATATATATATATATCACTAAAATGTAGAAACACAAGAAATATGTATTTCCTTATTGAGCGCTGTCTATAAAACAATGTTAAAAAAATATAGAAATATGCACTAACAGTACAATATAATTATTATCAGCTGTGGCTTGTGAAAACAAAACATAGAAGCCGTTTGTTTCTGAACATTGTGTGTAAATGAATATCGATATAACAAATGCGCAGTCCCTGTAAACGCATAGATGTAGTTTGCAGATTGTTTATCAAATTCTTAGTAAGGACCTATGTATATTATTTTATTATTAGCTATTTCCAGTGGCTATTTCCTGTGTGAATTAGGGTAAAAAGTATCTTATATGTTAATTATTTGTGTAACAATTTCATTAAAGTCCGCAATATTAGACATTAAAAGAACTTTATGAACTTTATGCATATTTGCACAGTGATATTAATAAGATAGTAGATAATCTACTTTACATAGACTTTCTATTAGTCGTCTAATATTAATAAATATTTTTATACGTAATAAAGTTTAAAATTTAGACAATGCACGAGACTTGTTAAATTTAAATAAAAAATTTTTGAATTGATTAATGAAGCTGTAATCCTTACTAATATTATACATGTGAAAGCGAGTTTGTATGTTTGTTACTGTTTGATATTATGAAATTGGTATACACGTCGTATTAGAGATGGAGAAAGACTTACGATATTTTTTTATTCCGGTCGATCAATCTATCTCGGTTATGCGAACGTATTTGCGGGTTCCACCCGCTTAAAATATACTCACTTTTCCTGTGGGAAATTACAAAATCCTTTCAGATTGGATTTAGGTTTCCTTTACAATTTAGAACACGGCACTCAATAGGGATTACTCTTTTAACATGTGTTACTACAAAAGATGTAGGTTACGTTTAGAGTTGGTAACCGTATCACGCAAGTTGAGCCGTCCCATTTCCCAGATCTTGGAAGTGAAACCTTAAAAGAAGCGAAAAACATGTAATGATATTAATTTATTGATCTGATAATAAAATATATCTACTAACTTCAGATATTAATATTTTTTAAACATTTTGTCTTAACGAAAACATGCAACTAGCGATTGAATATAAAAGCAACAAGTCTTCGTTTCTGTCAACAATATTAGAAATATAAATACAAACAAATTTATTATTTGTGTCCAATGCAATAAATCAACTTTTAAGCATAGTAAAAGTTTTTATAATACATAATACAATTACTTGATAGTTGGCGACATCCACTAGATGGAGTGACGATCTCAAATACATTGCATGGAGTCAGTGAATGCAGGTGGCTTAAGACCGTTCCTTAATACAGTCTGTGGGTGAGGCCTATGTTCAGCAGTGGACAGATAATGGTTTTTAACTTAAAATAAAAAGTGTATTAAATACTAAACGAGAAGTTGTTATTTAGTAACTGTCAAGATAACAAAAAATGATTGTTTGTACTTGAAAAATATAATTGTGACCGAAAAGTGATCTCAGTAGAATATTATGAATACGAGTAGATATTTTAAAATAATATTAAAAGTGCTTGAATAACTTTATATATTAATTTAGCTATAATTCAAATATATTTCAATACCTAAAATATAGTATACTGAGAACGTATAGATAGTCAAATCAACGTGTCTACATATATAAAGCGTCAATTAATCTCGGAATGATTTATTGACATCGAGTTCTTGATAAACGTTCTTCATGATTAGTACAATAATTATGTTTGCAATAAACTGATTCTAAGTCTATTAAGTAGTCTGAGTTGAAGTTGATAATGGATTGAAGACTCTTATAGTTAGCTTTATATTACGAAATTTTATCATTGACCTAACATTT